CTGGGCAGCGAGCTGCTGCGGGGCGACGAGCCGCGCCGCCAGTGGTTCCGCAAGCTGGCTGACTTCCGCCTCTTCCTGCCGCCGCGCCACTTCGAGGGCATCAGCGCCGCCTTCATGGACCGCCTGGGCCACCAGCTCGAGGACATGCTGCTCTCCTGCAAGTACCGCGGCGAGCTCTGCGGCCCGCACAACTTCTCCTCCGTGAGTCGCCCTGCGCGCAAGCCCGCTCCCTCAGCGGTCCCCCGCCCCCGCCCCTCCCCGGAGTCAGAAGGCCGCCCTTCCGCCCCCTCGGGGTCCGTCCCTCAGGGCCCCTTTGCGGTGTCACTACTCGCGATGCCAGGACGGAAGACTTTTACGTCCCTGTCCACCATCCTCCTCCCCCCCCCCCGCCCCCGTCTTCTTCAGGCTGTGGGTACTTGGACTTAAGTGCGGGAGGAGTCGCAGCTCCCCTGTCCCGGCCCCCCTGCTTCCAGTGTCAGCCCCCAGACCTCTCACTCCACTCCCTTAAGCTCCCGTCTGGTAATACTACCACACCCCCTCCAGACCTCACCCCCAGGTCCACAGGACTCTGGGCAACTGCTCGATCTGGGGTGTAGGGATGCCTTAAGTGTGGGTTTGTTGTCTGTGGGAAAACCAGTAGGAAGCCCCTCAAAAGTGGGCCATTAGGAGAATCACGCAGAGTCCCTAGGAGGACTTCGGAGGAAACTCCCAGAATATTAACCAACACTGAAGCTGTAGGTGGTAGGAGAGGCGGCAGCATGCCTTCTGCTACTTTTTTTAAAGCGCTGGGGTCTTGAGCGTCCAGGGGAACTGAGAAATGGGGGGCCGAGGTTGGGCCCTCCACCCGCCCTCCGCCCCCATAAGGTGTGAGCGGAGTCTCCCAGGCTTGAAGAATGCTCTGCCATGGAGAAGGCAGCGTGGCAGGGGTGTGGATGAAAACAGCCGGGCCAGAAGAAGCTGCGCTCAGGGTTTGTAAACCATTTGCTGTGCTGGTTCCCCCACGCTGTGGGTCTGGATAACGCAGCTGTCGGACAGAAGGTATCTGCCTTGTGCAGTCTGCCTTGGAGGAGTGCAGGTGCCAGGCCCCAGCATGGCACAAGCCTGTCCAGCCATTCGTGTGTAAATGCTCCTTAGGTGGGTTTGGGCTTTTCCACTAGTGCAGGGAAGGTTGGTTGTATGTGTTTACTGGTAGTGCTCTGATGGTGATTTTTACCAGCCCTGATTTATCACTCCTGACGGTCTCCTTTCTGACAAAGCTTTTTTTTCTGGGATGGTAAAGTGATGCCACAGTTCCAACAGGTGTTGGCATGATGCCGGCCAGGCCAGATCTCTCATTGGCTGACTGGGTTATTCCTTGTCTAGGATGGCAACTCTGGTTTCAATCTTGTCCTGCTGGCTTTGCATTAAGCCTGTGGAGAGAGTAGACCTGAATTATCCACTCCCAAAACGTTCCTTGTTTTCTGGACTTTTCAGCTGGCCTTTAAAGAATGTCTGCCTGCTGGGTCCCTGCTTTGGCAAGCAGGAGATGCTGATAACATATGCTTCTAAACAACTTCTTCCAGAACTCCAAACAAAATCCTGAGTCCCATGAAGGTGACGGAATGAGAGTAGTGATCTCTTGTGGTTTATTGTTCTTTGGCTGGCCACTAATTAGCAGTCTCTAGAGTGAGATTGAAGTTAAAGGTTACATCCAAATATCAGCAGGTCCTTGCCTCAGCTCCAAGTTTTACAACATGGTCCATCAAATGTAATTCTGAACATCTAACTATTGCTTTGCAAAGTGTGTGGAACTGCATTCTAACATCCAGTATGCACTTTTGATATTCACCACAGTCCTGTTTTAGCAATGAGTTTTATTCTTATTTTTAAAATGAGAAAAATGAAGCTCTAAAAAGTTGTCCAGTACACAGAGCCAGCAAGTTTAAAGTCCAACTTTGCATACCATGAGATGCATTACATAGAAGCCACATGTAGCCTGTCCTCTCTGACCTTGGCCTCACTTCTCTCTGAGGACCCTTGGGTAGGACTCTTCTCCCTCCCATCCACCTCCCGAAGTCCTGTTCCTTCTAGGAGCTGAGAGAGTAGAAATGGAACCACCTCAGGTGGTCAGAGTCTTGGCAACATGTTACTGGGGGTGTGTAGAGGACATGATAGTTTCAGGAGCCACCTGCCTTCAACCTCTGCAGCAGGCATGGCCATGAGATGTGTGGGCCAATGGTTAGGGAGTTGAGGAGAGTAGGGTCCTTCCCATTGGGGTACAACCTTCTCTTACCTTCCTGTATCCTGCCTCCCTGCGTTTGAAGAGCTTGCAGGTACACACTCACCCAAGCAAACGTTAGTACCTCCATTCTCCAAAGATATATGTTCCCAGAGGCTCAAAGTGACCCATAGTGACTTCTTGCCATGGCCCTGTCCTGGGAGTTTCCAGCCCCTAAACATTGTACACTGTAGGTTTCCCCAAGTATCTCAGAATTAAAGATTTCACCCCTCTATCTGTAGAAGCCAGAAACTATTTTAAGAGAGCCCCAAATACAGAGCAAACCCATCAGGAATATTTTTCTCTAACCATACTGCCCCATCTCAAGGCGCTACAGTGTAGCAGCTAAGAACATGACCTCTCAAGTCATACTGCATGGGCTCAAATCCTGAATCTACCACTTACTGTGCTTCCTTGGGCAAATGACTTAATCTCTCTGTCCTTTAGTTTTCTACTTCTTCATGTAATAGACATAACTATAGTGTACTCACTAATATTACTAGGGGTGTGTGTGTGTGTGTGTGCTCATATGTGGCAGAGAGAGCTCTGAAAACTGTGCTAGGTCCTTATGAAAATGCTGCCTTTCAACTGCACCAGCTTCCCAACTGGACTTTTGGCCTCAAGCTCTGTCCTTCTCACCACCTGCATCCCATCTTCTGCCCTATAGCCAAAGTGGTCTCTCTAAAGCACCACTCAAAGTACATTATCTCTCTTCTTAAAACCCTTGAGGTTTCAGCCATCCTCAGGTAAAGGTCCGAGCTCTTAGTTCACCCACCTGGTTCCTATGTTACTTCCGGCCATGCCCTCTTTGGGACTATGTACTCAAGCTACAGAACAGCTTGTGACAGCTGAACCCCTTGCTCCAAAGCCCCTGTGGTTTGGTCCTGCTTCCCCCACTGTTGTAAGTGTCCTTCCCTTTGCTTTGTCTGCCCAGGGGACACCTACTTATCCTTCAACACACAGCTCTGGGGTTCATTCTACTTGGGACCTTTCCTGACCACCCCCGACCATGCCTCATGTCACCAAGCAACTGATGCCTTTTCCCTCTTGCCCCTCTGCCACCTTTTTTAGGCACTGGTCCTCACATGTGCACATGTCATCACCTATTAGACTGTGCTTGTCTCCCCCTCCAGTCTGGGCAGGAATCTTATCTGATTTTCCTGTTGCCTCCAGCACCCAGCACAGAACCTGACATGTGGTATGTACTGGGGAAAGGTCTGCGGAGTGAATACCTCCACCAGCTACCCCCAGGATTTCTTATTATCCTGGGTCACCCATGCCAAAACTCTTGGTTTAATTTCTCTAGGGAACACCAGTGAAACACCAAGATCCAGGTCATTTCTGGGCATTTATTTCTTCTGGGAACAGAAAAAGAGAGTGGGAACTAGGATGCCAAGCATTCCTCAGACACTTGTGCTCCCCAAGTCCTAAGAGGGCTAGAGCCACAGTTGAGAGATGGGGCTCAGGGGAGACCTTTGCGGAGATGTGCCAGCTGTCCCCCAATCCCATTCCATACAGGTAGTCTCATGGTCTGAAAATAAACCTGGCAGGGAGAGGCATGTCTACTGGGTCTTAACCTCCAGACCCATTCAGAATGTGTTTAGTCACAGATTGTCTCTTTGTTGCAGCTGTGCAAGGGTTAATAACTCAGCAGCCAGATCCAGGAGCTCCAGCTTCTGAATGCCCGTGTTGTTTCCCTGGCATCAGCTGCGGACTTGGGCTCTGCACACTCTGGCCCTTCTGGGGTTTCTTGAGGTGGAGGAAAGCACCCTTCCCCATAATTGGCAGGATGTGGAACTGAGATGCTGGCTATCTGAGCACTGGGGCTTCAGAAGAGGAACCGAGGCATTGGTAATGGGGACTGACAGAAGCCAATCCAGGGTCCACTGTAAGAGTAAGGAGCAATGGCCCTCTCTGGGAGACAGTATGGTTCAGGGAAAAGTGTCAGGCAGACCTTGGCTTGAGGCTTTGGCTCTGGCCTTCCTCACTGTGTGCCTTAGGCAGACATTGTGCTCTCTGAACTTCTGGTAATAAGTCCTGCCTCAGAGAGCTGGGATGAAGATAAGATATGTGCAGTAATTGGCGTATGCCTGGACAGCAGCAGGTTCCCAATATTTGAGAGCCATTGTCATCATGTGGATAAAGGAGTTGACTCAGTGTCTTGGCATCTGATGGTAGCAGTTATTCATTAGTATTAATATAATGATCATGTCTTATCATGACCACTTACCTGAGTGAGGACAGACTCATGTACGAGTTCGTTCACTTAATCAACTATCGTATATGGAGTATCAACTTAGATCCCAGCATCTGTACTGGCTGCTGGGGATGTAAAATTAAACAAGTCTTGGTGTGTGCCTTTCAGGAGCTTGCAGTATTGTTGAGGAGAGAAACGTGTGGACAGACAGAGGCATGCAGAGGTGCTGTATGGACTCAGAGGAGTTTCTGGACCAGACTGGGGACCTCCAACAACTTCCTGGAGGAGGTGCATCTGAGCTGAATCATGAGGAATAAGTAGGAGTTCCCAAGTAGAAAAGGAGAGAAAGAAGACTTCAGAGCGAGGAGAGAGAATATCCAAATGAGAGAAGCATGAGATGATGAGATAGAACACATGTCTTCTAGGCTCAGATCCTGGTTCAGTATGGCTGGAGGGAGGGGCTGGATGTCCTGAGGTGGGAGCAGGGTTGAAGGGTGATGATACACTAGCAAGATGGGTACCTGGGGATCAAACTGAAGTTTTGATCTTTGCAGTATAAACTCTGACTTCTTTGATCACTAACTGTTAGGCTGTATAGGAAGATCTTATTAGTGTCCCCACCTCCACAGCCACCTTCTCATTCCTAACGACATCCTGTAGTATTCCGCATTTCCTATGCTTGTGCAAGAGTTAACCTTGAGTTAACTCTTGAGTTAAAAGCCAAGGAAACAGCATTTGGTTTCATCA